GGAGGCAGTTGAACAGTCTCGGGCCCCTGACACTTATTGTATGGTCTCTTAACGTGCTAGTGACACCCCTGCTTTTCATTGGGGGGATGTTGCATCGTCTGCCAAGTCATTTGCTTTCGTAGTGAGTGATTTTCGTGTGCAAGTTCGGTACTAGTCCCTCTAGGATTTTCCAGGTGTATATAATCATGTATCTCTCCCGCCTGCGTTCCAGGGAATACAAGTTTAGGAAACCTCAAGCGCTCCCAGTAATTGAGGTGTTTTATCTCCGTTATGCGCGCCGTGAAGGTTCTCTGTACATTTTCTAGGTCAGCAATTTCACCTGCCTTGAAAGGTGCTGTTAGTGTGCAGCAATATTCCAGCCTAGATAGAACAAGTGACCTGAAGAGTGTCATCATGGGCTTGGCCTCCTAGTTTTGAAGGTTCTCATTATCCATCCTGTCATTTTTCTAGCAGATGCGATTGATACAATGTTATGGTCCATGAAGGTGAGATCGTCCGACATGATCACTCCCAGATCTTTGACGTTGGTGTTTCGCTCTATTTTGTGGCCAGAATTTGTTTTGTACTCTGATGAAGATTTAATTTCCTCGTGTTTACCATATCTGAGTAATTGAAATTTCTCATCGTTGAACTTCATATTGTTTTCTGCAACCCACTGAAAGATTTGGTTGATGTCCGCCTGGAGCCTTGCAGTGTCTGCAATGGAAGACACTGTCGTGCAGATTCGGGTGTTATCTGCAATGGAAGACACGGTGCTGTGGCTGACATCCTTGTCTACGTCGGATATGAGGATGAGGAACAAGATAGGAGCGAGTACTGTGCCTTGTGGAACAGAGCTTTTCACCGTAGCTGCCTCGGACTTTACTCTGTTGACGACTACTCTCTGTGTTCTGTTAGTGAGGAAATTATAGATCCATCGACCGACTTTTCCTGTTATTCCTTTAGCGCGCATTTTGTGCGCTATTACGCCATGGTCACACTTGTCGAAGGCTTTTGCAAAGTCTGTATATATTACATCTGCATCGGTGTGGAATGTGAAAATTGGCGCGGCTGTGTTTGTTCGGCACCCAATTATGTGTTCGTGACCAGATGCTAAAATTTGGCAAATTTTTTGGTCGTGAACCGATTTGTTCGTGTTCGGAAATGTTCGTGACCAAAGGTTTCACTGTACTTATAGAAATAAAGATATTATATTATTATTATTATTATTATACCCGGAATCCTGCGGGCGGTAGTCAAAAAGATTACAGAGGTACATAATGGGTCCAGGGACTGGGCCCCAAAGTTTTGATAGTTGAACAAGTTACAAAGGTAATGAACCATTCACACGTCCACACCCGATTATTACTGCAATGAGTTATTAATGCAAAAATTAGCTTTATTTACAGTGAGCAATCATGGTATTTTTCCAGAATAGTTTGTAATACTGTATACCACTGGATAAAATACTTTGACATATCTTGAACATTTCTGAGTGAGTTGTCTTTGAATTCATTATTTATATTATATTTATTATATTATATATATATATATATATATATATATATATATATATATATATATATATATATATATATATATATATATATATATATATATATATATATAATATATATATATATATATATAATTTTTATATTAATTCGAAAATAAAAACGGCAATTAAATAACATTGTTTATGAAAAATAAGGAAAAATGAGAAGCGTATTTCTAATGTTGATTCCATTTGATAAAACGTATTTTTTTATTCTTTCATTGAATATTAGAACACACAAATGGCTTCATTGGTTAGAGGAGTAATAAACCATGTGATTACAAAGGCTGAGAATTGCTGTCGAGGCTAATTTTTAAAAGTTAATTCAACACACAATTATGAAATATTTTTTCCCGCGCTGGACAACATGGCGGGTGGGTGCAGGTGTTGCTCTGTCTCACACACAAATTACCTCTTATTACACGTTGTTACACTCTCAGTACCTTGTCTTTATACTTAATTTGCATTATAGGTCACAGGAAAGATAGTGAGAACACTGCATGGCGGAGTTAAGTAGTGTAAAAAGTGTATTTAGTGATAAGTTGACCTGAGTGGACCAGCATTTGCTGACCCGCCTTTTAAAATGTTGTTTATATTGGATAAAATTATAATATACCTTCCATCAAGGGGGGTTTGCTTTAATGTTGGTGAAGGGCTTTTGATCCAGTGAATGAGAACTATCCTCCCCCTCCATCCCTTTCTTTTGAACGAATCCTATTGCCTTTCATCCCTCTTATTCTGCAAGTGCTGTGTGACCCCTGCGGTTTTGATGCTCCCCAGAAATGTAATAATTATTACATGGTTTTCCTGTGATCGGGTTTGGTAATTATGGGTGAATGTTTCTGGTGAAGGCTCTGACACCCGGCTGGACGAGCCGTGTGTCTGCCGGAAATATTTGGGGTCTATATAAGTCTTTCTCAACTTAATAAATTAAAAAGTTTTAGTTTATGACAGTTAAAGAGGGCAACAGTTTACGATAATTAAAAAGGGCAACAGTTTTAACTTTTAGGTTGAAATATCAAGATATTACAAAGACCCTAATGGAAATAAGTCACTTGACTTTTTTGGGTTATCCTAAATAATAATAATACTATGTATGATAATTTACTTATGTGTACCTGTGCCTAAATAAAATTACAATAATTAAAAAGGGCCACAGTTTATGATAAAAAGGGTTAGTTTATGATAATTAAAAAGGGATGCAGTTTACAATAATTAATAAGGACTTCAGTTTATGGCTTAGTTTATGACAGTAAGATTGTTAGGTTAGTTTAAGTTTGGCTAACAATGTTTCTTGATATTAGTCTACATTTTATACCACTTACACAGCTGTAAAACCAACTTGATATTTTATTAATCAGACTTAAAAGTAATGATTGAAATCTGCCAATTAGCAGTTGTTTGCCATTATCTTAAAGATAATAAATCAAACTTCATAATTGCTTTGGCTCTGTTAGCTTTTAAAAAATTCCAGTCCCATTTGAGTACACCACTCATGGAAGTTCCTTGATGCTGGTGAGGGGCTCTTGATCCAAGGAATTCCTCTTCCTTGGATTGAATCGGATTGCCTTTTATTCTTCAAACATTGTATGACTCCTACGGGTTAATGCTACTTCCTAAATAATAATTATAATGATCCGACAATTATTTTTTATATTTATTTATGCATTTTTATTTTTTATTAACCACAATACAAGGATCTATTTTAAGAGAGCACCTCAGCCTACAGAGAGAGAGAGAGAGAGAGTAATCCTGTGATCTGTTGGACATTTCCTTCAGTAGTTTTCCCATTGACTGATAAGTTTAGTATTGCAGTTGCTGTCAAGAGTTACAAGTTAATATAGTTCATAATAATATCCCCAGCTGATCTCCACTTATGTATTCAGGCTCAATGCAAGCAATGTAGAAATTTAAAACAGTAGTCTGTAAAACAGCTGTGCATGTAACCTAAGTAAAGCATATTGTTAAGCATTTTATGCTTTAATGCATAGAACAAGTAAATTACTGGTTTTTTATTTCATTCCAATTTAGTTAGCATACTTGACATTGGTCATTGCATTTTAAAGGTAAGTTATTCATTTACATATGTAATAGCTCTAAGTATAGGCTCTACAATTGTCTTTATGCAGTACATATAGTATTTGTATTTCATGTACAGTGGTATCTTGACTTACGAGTGCCCCAACTTATGAGTTTTCCAAGTTACGAGCCGTCACTCGGTCGATTTTTTGCTTTGAGTTGCGAACCAAAATCCGAGTTACGAGTGAGCTTCAGATATGCCGCCACTAGTTAGTGCAGCGAATGCCACAACATCAACCCAGCATCCCATGTCTCACTCATTCATTGCACGTGGTTACCTCGCCATGGAAGTATCTCTCTCGTGTTGTGCATGCGTTTTGTGCTTTTAAGTTCAGCGATAAAGTGTAGCATTAAGAGTGTAGCAAGTAACTTAAGCAATTAAGTGATAGAGTTTGACGAATGAAAGTGACCAAAAAAGCACGAAACGAACTGAACTCCTCCAATCTCCCTGCCTATCTTTTCCACCCTCCACCTCCTGCCAGCCCAAGTCGTCTGATCTGGAGTTTACCTGGAGAGAGTTCTGGGAGTCAACGTCCCCGCGACCTGGTCTGTGACCAGGCCTCATGGTGGATCAGGGCCTGATCAACCAGGCTGTTATTGCTGGCTGCATGCAATCCAACGTACGAACCACAGCGAGGCTGGTCAGGTACTGACTTTAGGTGCTTGTCTAGTGCCTGCTTGAAGACAGCCAGGGGTCTATTGGTAATCCCCCTTATGTATGTTGGGAGGCTGTTGAACAGTCTTGGGCCCCTGATACTTATTGTGTTGTCTCTTAACGTCCTAGTGACACCCCTGCTTTTCATTGGAGGGAAGTTGCATCGTCTGCCGAGTCTTTTGCTTTCGTAGTGAGTGATTTTCGTGTGCAACCTTGGTACTAGTTCCTCTAGGATTTTCCAGGTGTATATAATCATGTATCTCTCCCGCCTGCACTTCAGGGAGTACAGGTTCAGGAACTTCAAGTGCTCCCAGTAATCAAGGTGTTTTATCTCAGTTATGTGTGCTGTGAAGGTTCTCTGTACATTTTCTAGGTCAGCAATTTCACCTGCCTTGAAAGGTGCTGTTAGTGTGCAGCAATATTCCAGCCTAGGTAGAACAAGTGACCTGAAGGGTATCATCATGGGCTTGGCATCCCTACTTTTGAAGGTTCTAATTATCCATCCTGTCATTTTTCTAGCAGATGCGATTGATACAATGTTATGGTCCTTGAAGGCGAGATCCTCCGACATGATCACTCCCAGGTCTTTAACATTAGTTTTTTCACTTTATCGTGTGGTTGGAATTTGTTTTATACTCTGGTGACATTTTAATTTCCTCACGTTTACCATATTGGAGTAAATGAAATTTCTTATCATTGAACTTCATATTGTTTTCTGCAGCCCATTGAAAGATTTGGTTGATGTCCGCCTGGAGCCTTGCAGTGTCTGCAATGGAAGACACTTGTCACGCAGATTCGGGTGTTATCTGCAAAGGAAGACACGGTGCTGTGGCTTACATCCCTGTCTATGTCAGATATGAGGATGAGGAACAAGATGGGAGTGAGTACTGTGCCTTGCGGAACAGAGCTTTTCACTGTAGCCACCTCAGACTTTACTCTGTTGACTACTACTCTTTGTGTTCTGTTTGTGAGGAAATTATAGATCCATCTCCCAACTTTTCCAGTTATTCCTTTAGCACGCATTTTGTGCGCTATTACGCCGTGGTGACACTTGTCGAAGGCTTTTGCAAAGTCTGTGTATATTACATCTGCATTCTTTTTGTCTTCTAGTGCATCTAGGAACTTGTCGTAGTGATCCAGTAGTTGGGACAGACAGGAGCGACCTACTCTAAACCCATGCTGCCCTGGGTTGTGTAATTGATGGGTATCTAGACTGGTGGCGATCCTGCTTCAAAGGACCCTTTCAAAGTTTTTTATGATATGGGATGTTAGCGCTATCGGCATGTAGTTCTTTGCTATTGCTTTGCTGCCCCATTTTTGGAATGGGGCTATGTCTGTTGTTTTTAGTAAATACACTTTATAAAACCAGTTTATTTCTTTGCATTCTCTTTTATTATACTTTTATTCAATATTTCTTATTTATAAATACATTTTTCTTATTTAAAAACCCATAACCAAAAAATTAGGGTGGTTTTTTGGGGGCTGGAATGGATTAATGTCATTTCAGTTAATTTTAGTGAGGAAAATTGATTTGATATATGAGCAAATTGAGTTACGAGCTCGGTCATGGAACGAATTAAACTCGTAAGTCAAGGTACTACTGTAATTATGTACAATATTCCATCATTGTGCAGTTCTCCATTTAAATTTATTTTGATGCTGTATGATTTTGAGGTCTTCCAATATTTGTTTAGCTGTTAAGAAATGTAGAAACATGTATACTGCTGCTCTGTTTCATATTGAGTAGAGGTTTTTAAACATATGGTAATCTATCAACATGCCATTCCTCAAAGGGACTCCTCAATGTTCACAAATCCACTGCAAATGTATATAATTTCATGAATTTACATCATGGTGAATCCCATTGATTTTGGGTAGTGACTGTACTTTGTGTGTGTTGTGAAAGTGACTTTTTGAAGTATGTACATACTTTACTGTGTGTATGTGTACTCGCCTGTTTGTGGTTGCAGGGGTCGAGTCATAGCTCCTGGGTCAAGTCATAGCTCCTATGCGTGTGTGTGTGTGTGTGTATTGAAAAGGTGGTTGCTTTATTACAGTTTTTGGAGTTTGCTGTATCTTTGTGTTGTTCAAACCCTGCCAATGGTAATGCTGTAATCTAAAACAAGAACAACTTATTAAAAGCTTGTAGATTACTCGTGTAGAAACTAATATATACATGTATTTGAATGCTCACAATATTTATTTCATTACAGGTGTGTCAGGAATAGCCAAGAGCTCTCTCCAGTACTATGTCATTGATAGTAATGAAGCCCTGGAGTTCAAACTAGGTAAGAATTTAAGTTTAGTCATGATATTATTGCATTTGATAAAAACAGAGTAATATGCTTTATGAAATAGTATTTATGTAGAACTTATTGATACTGTATTAAAAGTGCTGGCATCATAAAAATAAATTTCTAAAAATTTCTAATAGTTGTATCACACTACCTCTTCTACTCTTGTATGAAATTGTCTTATTTTCTCTGTCAGTAGTACAACGCCAGGATATCTCCGTATTTATTTGTAATATTTTATGAATGTATGTGTAGTTTAGTGGTAGTGTTTGCCCTATAGCTGGAAGGACTTGATTCAGTCCCTAGGTGAAGTGAGAAGTATGGGTAAGTCTTTCTACACCTGCCCCTGTTCACCTGGTAATATAATAGATATACTCTCTCATACATAGAAGTTAGTCAGCTGTTGTAGATCTTACTAGGGGAGAGAACCTAAAAGCAATCAAATGTAAAGACCACACTGCTTGGCTTTCTTAAATTACCTTTGGTTAACCCTCAGGGGTTAATAATTCTAAGAAATTTGTTGTCTCCTTCATATACTTTTTCCCTCATCTTCCAGTATAAGAGCAATTGCTGTTCACAAACTTTAATGCATTTTGTTGTAGGTTTTATAACATTTTAAGATTCTTTGATCAGGTTTCCAGTAGCTGTTTATATTGGCTAACCTAGTAACTGCCACTGATATTCTGTTTCCTATTCTTCGATTCCTGCCCAGTTTCATTACCTCGTATATTCATTGGTTGACCTCGAATAGCCACTCATTCTTTTTGGGTCTTGCTGCAGTCTTGTTCCAGTCCTCATGCTTTGTTGGCAAACAGTATGGAGAATCCTAATCCCACTAGCTGGTAATTTACATTTTTTAAGAACTGTATGCTACTTAAGACTGATCCTTGGGACTCCACCAGATGCATTTACGCATTAAGACATTTTGTCTCCTGTAGCAGTTTTGATTTTTGTTCAACTGGTATGCCTTAATCCATGAGATTACTCAGGTTGACTCCCTTATATGTTCAGAGTACTATGTTGATAACCTACAGGAAATCTTGTAATATACGTACACTCTGCCCTTTATTTTCTTTCCTGCATGAATGTTGTTATCGTGTCATTTACCTTTATTAGGTTTGAGGCAGGACTTGACATTCCTGAAATTGTCCTATCTGATGAAGTAAATAATCTCGTGGTGTTTCAAAAGAGTACCTATTCTCCAGGAGTTCCAATAATCTCCATATCTTAGCTTTACTTGTAACTTTCACCAATTTCCAAGGCATCTGGCAATTCTCATCTAAAGTGTTTTATGTAAAGGTTTGGGTACATGGCTTTCCCATAGCTTTAGGTTCTCCTTTGTGTCCATGGATGGTGATGTATATAGTAGTATCATGAGTTTCATTGTGTTGGATTTCCTATGGGGTCTCATTACTTGCTTAATTTTTTTTTCCTTCTTGTAATGGTTTGTCATTATTTTTGGCACTGGCTCTTGCATATGAAGACTCTGTTGAATCTTTATTTTAACCTCAACAAGTAGATCTTCATCTTCATTTATTTATTTGGCCATTTTCCTCTTTGTTTTGTTTGTTAGGCTTAAAGAGTCTTTTGACTTCACAAGGCCTATTAAGGTTCTTGTTTCATAATACTGTAATAATCATTTTAGGCTTTCCTGCATAGCTCATTTTTTTTTATTAGACCTCAGTCTACATTTTCTTATTTTCAGAATATTTTTGGTCTTCTTTGTGAGTGTAAGGTACTTCCATAAATAATGTGGTCAAGCATATTACAGGTAATTATTTATATTGCAGTACGATCTGTTGCTGACATTGATGATGACGAGTTGGTATTCAAACCTGACATGTCTCACCAGATATATGGAGACAGGTGAGCCTGTTATTTGACATTCATTTATATAATACATCCATCCTCTATAGATTTAAAAAAAAAAAAAATCTTATTTTACGAACTTGTGATTAGCAAACCTCTCGTGATAAAAAATTCTTTAGAAAAAAAAGTACTTAGGAGTTAGCCAAATTTTTATTAGGAAATAGTTTGCTTCATACCTATACGTATAAGGTTCACCAGCACTTGGGGAAAGGGGATGGTCATAAATCCACACATTGACTCTTCAAGTTAATTTTTGTTAACAGGCTTGTTAATGTCATTATATCTTGTATAGAAAAATGGTGCACTGAATTTTAAGATGTACTTTTTGTTTAACCTATTTCCTACTAATATTCTTTTATAGTACAGTACTGTTTTATAATTTAGAGGCAAATACCAGCAAGGGTTCAGTTTGGTTCCAAGAATTAGCAAGGTTACATTTAGTAAAGTACTGGTTTAAATTTATATTGTGGCATAGCAAACAGACTTATAATGTATGTATGGCAACCAACAAATAAACACTTGCAACTGTGCATAGCCAACTTAAAATATTCCCAGTAGATTGGAGCATGAGCACTTTTATTTTAAATTTTTTTCTACTAGTGTTGGCCAAGAGAGCAAACATTACACACTGGGTTGGCAGATTACATAACCATGGGAAAGCATTCATTGGGGTTTGTCTGTACAGCTAAATATACTGTAGTATATATTGTTAAAATCTCCATGGGGAAGTGGAACAGAATTCTTCCTCCGTAAGCCATGCGTGTCGTAAGAGGCGACTAAAATGCCGGGAGAAAGGGACTAGTAACCCCTTCTCCTGTATACATTACTAAATTTGAAAGGAGAAACTTTCGTTTTTCCTCTTGGGCCACCCTACCTCGGTGGGATACGGCTGGTACGTTGAAAGAAAGAAGAAGAATATTGTTAAAAAGAGTAAATAAACAATACTGTTATTGGAGTAAAGTTTGTTGTTCATTATTGCAGTGAACAAATATTTGGGTACAGTGGGCTTCGTGTCAAGCTGTATTACAGCGCAAGCCGTCTCACAACATACCTCGCCCACACTTTCGTAGAGAAGGTTGATCCTGAAAAGTTTGAGGGTGTTGAGGTATGTATTTTGTAAGGCTGTCTGCATTTTTTTATCACAATTTGCTGTTTGCAGAATGCATCAGAACCAGTTGAACTTATTGTATATCATTTATGTTGTGTTCATTACAGAGAATGATTAGATGTATCCATGATAAACGAATCTGTTTTCATTTACTGTTAATGATTTCTAAATTTTTGGTACTAGTAATCTGTTGTATGCATAGTAAACCTTGATACCTTGTTTATTTGTTAAAAGTACTGTGCAGATACCAAATAGAAATACTAATGATATTTGGTTTTCTGTCACACTTCTGCAATTGGTATGGTTGAAATTGATAGTTTTTCTAAATTAATTAGTTTATATAAATTACATAGGTGAAATGTATTGTCAGATTATATTTAAAATTTTCCTTGAAATCACTTAGTCCCTAAAATTGTTTTAATTGAAGAGCTAAATAACATTACTAAAACAACTTTCTATTGATCTGTTATCCTCATTTTTCCCATGCAAACAAACAACTTAACCTGACCAACCTTATAGTATTTTATATACATATATGTATTAATATTGAAACTAAACCAGAAGTAAATTTTCCTAGTACTGGCTAGTAAATTATACATATAAGGTCTGTAATACAAATTTTTGTAGTCTACATTATTTTTGTACCTTGTGTATATAGAGAAGGTTGATTAGTTGAAGTTAGGTTGGATGACAAAAAGAAAATTGATGCTAGACCATGACAAGTCTGTAAAATTAATTTTCAGCCAGATGAAGTTATAAAGCCAATAGCAGAGCGAATCCCACCAGGATACCTGACAAACTTGAGTGATTTCTCTGCAGCACTACAGAAGGATGCCTCTTTCAAACCATTTGGGGAAATGAAGCGAAGATTTAAAATACAGTTGGGTAAGTTTGAGCGAATTATGCAAGTGTGAAGGAGGGTGATCTTCTCTTGGGGATTTGATGAGCTGTTGAATTCTGAGCATAGTAATATCCTTAAAAAAGAGTTTCAGGGAAATGGGTTAGCTAGACCTGGGATTTGGAGATAGGAAGTGCTATAGAGTATTTGCGTGTTGAAAGTACGTAATGGAAATGATGAAATATAATTGAGTCATGAACAAATGATGATGTTTCTTCTCTTCTGTAAAGACAGCTAAAAAGCAAGGTTAACCTTCCTGGATGGAGAATTTTTTTTTTTTTTTTGAATATTCTTAAAAGAAACCACAAATTTTTGTATTACATTATATGACACCTTGTTTTTTATATACAAAAAGATTCAGTTTCTTCATGGGGAAGTGGAGAGTCATCCTTTCACTGGAAGCCATGTGTGTTGTAAGAGGTGACAAAAATGCCAGGAGCAAGGGGGCTAGTAACTCCTTCTCCTATATAAATTATTAAATGTAAAAAGAAGAAAAGCTCACTTATTTTTCAGGTCACCCTGCCTCAGTGGGAAATGCCTGGTGTGTTAAAAAAAAATCTTGATAATTATGCAAATCAACTAATGCATCATTTATGAATCAGTATTTGAGATAGCTTCTTTCATATTGCCCCTCCATAAAATATGTATACAGTGGACCCCCGCTTAACGATCACCTCCAAATGCGACCAATTATGTAAGTGTATTTATGTAAGTGCGTTTGTACGTGTATGTTTGGGGGTCTGAAATGGACTAATCTACTTCACAATATTCCTTATGGGAAAAAATTCGATCAGTACTGGCACCTGAACATACTACTGGAATGAAAAAAGTTCGTTAACCGGGGGTCCACTGTATTGTGAGTGTTAGACAAATAAATGGAGTGAATGGAGACAAATGGTTTTTTGGGACTTGATGAGCTGTTGGAGTTTGACCAGGGTAATATTTTATGAAGGGATTTAGGGGAAACTGGTTAGCTGGACTTGAATCCTGAAGGTGGAACGTACAGTGCTTGCACTTTTAAGGAAAGGTTTGGGATATTTGCTGTTAGTGACATCTGAACTGTCGTAGCTGAGCTCCTCTGCAAAGACAGTGATTATGTGGGAACGATGGTAAAATTTTTTTTTTTTTTTTTTGGGGGGGGGTCATCCTGCCTCAGTGGGAGACAGCCGACATGTTAAAAAGAAAAAAAAGAAAGATATTGATATTAATTTCAAACTAAAAACAGTCTTTTGTTGATATTTATTTGCAAATCATTGTTGCTTCCTGCTGGTGTGTAAATTGACCCTACTCTTATATTGATGTATTTCATCTGTGTAAGAGTGGTAAATAAGTAGAATATGTACATGTTTATAGAGGGGCAACTGATATATCGGCTCATTATTTAGTTGTAGCTATAGTTAGAGTAAGAGGTAGATGGGACAAGAGGAAAATGGCAACAATAAGTAAGAGGTGAAAGTGTATAAACTAAGGGAGGAGGAAATTCGGGTGAGATATAAGCAACTATTGGCAGAAAGGTGGGCTAGTGCGAGTATGAGTAGTTGGGGAGGTTGAAGAGGGTTGGAATATTTTTAAAAATGCAGTATTAGAATGTGGGGCAGAAGTTTGTGGTTATAGGAGGGTGGGTGCAGGAGGAAAGAGGAGTGATTGGTGGAATGATGAAGTAAAGGGTATGATAAAAGAAAAAGTTAGCTTATGAGAGGTTTTTACAAAGCAGAAGTGTTATAAGAAGAGCAGAGTATGTGGAGAGTAAAAGAAAGGAAAAGAGAGTGGTGAGAGAGAGTAAAAGGAGAGCAGATGATAGAGTGGGGAGGCACTGTCAAGAAATTTTGATGAAAATAAGAAAAAAATTTGGAATGAGATAACCAAGTTAAGAAAACCTAGGGAACGAATGGATTTGTCAGTTAAAGACAGAGTAGGGGAGTAAGTAGTTGAGGAGATGGAGGTATTGGGTAGATGGCGGGAATATTTTGAGGAATTTTTAAATGTCGACGAAGAAAGTGAGGCGGTAATTTCATGCACTGGCCAGGGAGGTATACCATCTTTTAGGAGTGAAGAAGAGCAGGATGTGAGTGGGGGGGAGGTGCATGAGGCATTATGTAGAATGAGTGGGTAAAACAGCTGGAACTGACGGGATCATGACATAAATGTTAAAAGCAAGGGGGGATATAGTGTTGGAGTGGTTGGTATTTTTGTTTAATAAATGTATGAAAGAGGGGAAGGTACCTAGGGATTGGCAGAGAGCATGTATAATTTTTTTCTTTTCTTTCCAACAAGCTGGTCGTCTCCCACCGAGGCAGGGTGACCCAAAAAAGAAAGAAAATCCCCAAAAAGAAAATACTTTCATCATCATTCAACACTTTCACCACACTCACACATTATCACTGCTTTTGCAGAGGTGCTCAGAATACAACAGTTTAGAAGCATATATGTATAAAGATACACAACATATCCCTCCAAACTGCCAATATCTCAAACCCCTCCTTTAAAGTGCAGGCATTGTACTTCCCATTTCCAGGACTCAAGTCCGACTATAAGAAAATAATTCCTTTATATAAAAGGAAGGGGGACAAGAGAGATCGTAAAAATTATAGAGGAATAAGTTTACTGAGTATAGGTAGTAGGTTGGTAGACAATAACCACCCAGGGAGGTACTACTGTCCTGCCAAGTGAGTGTAAAACGAAAGCCTGTAATTGTTTTACATGATGGTAGGATTGCTTGTGTCCTTTTTTTCTGTCTCATAAACATGCAAGATTACAGGTACGTCTTGCTACTTCTACTTACACTTAGGTCACACTACACATACATATACAAGCATATATATACACACCCCTCTGGTTTTTCTGCTATTTTCTTTCTAGTTCTTGTTCTTGTTTATTTCTTATCTCCATAGGGAAGTAGAACAGAATTATTCTTCCCTAAGCCATGAGTGTTGTAAGAGGCGACTAAAATGCCGGGGGCAAGGGGCTAGTAACCCCTTCTCTTGTATAAATTACTAAATTTAAAAAGATAAACTTTCATTTTTTTTTTTTTTTGGGCCACCCTGCCTTGGTGGGATATTGCCAGATTGTTGAAAAAAAAAACGAAGTTTACTGAGTATACCAGGAAAAATGTATGGTAGGGTTATTATTGAAAGAATTAGAGGCAAGACAGAATGTAGGATTGCGGATGAACAAGGAGGTTTTAGAGTGGGTAGGGGATGTGAGATCAAGTGTTTACATTGAAGCATATATGTGAACAGTATTTAGATGAAGGTAGGGAAGTTTTCATTGCATTTATGGATTTAGAAAAGGCATTTGATAGTTAACAGGGGAGCAATGTGGCAGATGTTGCAAGTATATGGAATAAGTAGTAAGTTGCTAAATGCTGTAAAGAGTTTTTGAGGATAGTGAGGGTCAGGTTAGTGTGTGTAGAAGAGAGGGAGACTACTTCTCGGTAAAAGTAGGTCTTAGACAGGGATGTGTAATGTCACCATGGTTGTTTAATATATTTATAGATGGGGTTGTAAAAGAAATAAATGCTGGGGTGTTCAGGAGAGGGGTGGGATTAAATTATGGGGAATCAAATACAAAATGGGAATTGACAGTTACTTTTTACTGATGATACTGTGCTTATGGGAGATTCTAAAGAAAAGTTGCAAAGGTTAGTGATTGAGTTTGGGAGTGTGTGTAAAGGTAGAAAGTTGAAAGTGAACATAGAAAAGAGTAAGGTGATGAGGGTATCAAATGATTTAGATAAAGAAAAATTGGTTATCGAATTGGAGAGGAGTAGTATGGAAAAGTAAATGTTTTCAGATATTTGGGAGTTGACATGTCAGCAGATACATTTATGAAGGATGAGGTTAACCATAGAATTGATGAAGGAAGAAAGGTGAGTTGTGCATTGAGGTATATGTGGAGACAAAAAAACATTATCTGTGGAGGCAAAGAAGGGAATGTATGAAAGTATAGTGGTACCAACACTTATATGGGTGTGAAGGTTGGGTTGTAAATGCTGCAGCGAGGAGGCGGTTGGAGTCAGTGGAGATGTCCTGTCTAAGGGCAATGTGTTGTGTAAATATTATGCAGAAAATTCAGAGTGTGGAAATTAGGAGAAGGTGTGGAGTTAATAAAAATATTAGTCAGAGGGCTGAAGAGAGGTTGTTGAGATGGTTTGGTCATTTAGAGAGAATGGATCAAAGTAGAATGACATGGAGAACGTATAAATCAGTAGGGGAAGGAAGGCAGGGTAGGGGTTGTCCTCGAAAAGGTTAGAGGGAGGGGGTAAAGGAGGTTTTGTGGGCGAGGGGCTTGGACTTCCAGCAAGCGTACGTGAGCGTGTTTGATAGGAGTGAATGGAGCTGAATGGTATTTGGGACCTGATGAGCTGTTGGAGTGTGAGCAGGGTAATATTTAGTGAAGGGGTTAAGGGAAACCGGTTATTTTTATACAGCCGGACTTGAGTACTGGAAATGGGAAGTACAGTGCTTGCACTTTAAAGGAAGGGTTTGGGATATTGACAGTTTGGAGGGATATGTTGTATATCTTTATACATATATGCTTCTAAACTGTTGTGTTCTGGGCACCTCTGCAAAAACAGTGATTATGTGTGAGTGAGGTGAAAGTGTTAAATGATGAAAGTATTTTCTTTTTGGATCACCCGGCCTCGGTGGGAGACAGCCAGCTTGTTAAAAAAAAAAAAAATGTTAAGCAGCAACACAGTGGAAGTGAATGTCATATGTGGGTTCAGAAATAGAATGACAAGGCTTGGTCATGTCAGTCATTGAAAAGTTAAGAACTGGAACTAATATCTTGAGTTCACTTGCAAACTCAATAATTGCATCACAGGGAGCAATATTGGATTAGATTTTTGTTTTAAATATGAAGACCTTTATGAATGCTAAATTTGGGTCTTGGGCTAATACATTTATTTAATGTTTCAGAAGAGGGTGAGGAAAAGACATACGAAGTTTATCTTTGTGATATCTCGGCCACAGGATTTTTAGATTATCACGAGCGTATCCAAACATTCCTCTTGTGGTACATTGATGCAGCTTCCTACATAGATGTAGATGATGACAAATGGAGATTTTTTGTTACGTAAGTTTCAGCATTTAGTGAAGATGTGTGTGTTGTTAAATATGGAACTGGCACTGTCAGATGAGTATAAATAATAGCCTAGCCTAACAATTTAAGTAAGTGTTTAATTTTTCCCTAGTACCTTTGTATCTTTTTCTTCACTCGTTTTTGTGCTTGTTCAGAGCACTACTTTTTGTCTTCCTCATGCAAGCAAGTGATGGCCATTAACTGTTATGATAGCCAAACTAGCACAATGAATTCTTTAATGTGTTTTAGGTATTTTGTTAAAATTTTTTAACTCTTGTATGTACATTCAAAACATCAGGGAAGATTATCTTTCATGGCTGTTTATCTCTTCAAACATGAGAAGCTTTAAGTTGAAATAAAGCAAAACATATATAAGCTCAAAATTGTGCTTCAAAGAGCTCTAACTAACCTTAAAGTTTTGGGACTGTGCTTTTTTTTTTTTTTCTGTACAGTGTTGTGTATCATTTTGCAAATATCTGACATTCTGCTCAACTTACTTTTCTTTTCCTAATAGGTATGAGAAGTATCTGGTTAATGGTAACCCTCAGTATGCCTTTGCTGGTTATACCACTGTCTACGAGTACTATGCTTATCCTGCTAACATTCGACCGCGCATCTCTCAGATGTTAATTCTCCCGCCATTCCAGAGATTAGGATTAGGAAGGGAAATGTTGGACACAATTTACACTCATTACAAAGATAATGCTAAAGTTCTAGATATTACAGGTAAGATGTGTGATTTTTGTGTGTTTATCTCTCTTCTTCATCTCTTCAACTTGTAGTTTCATGTTCTTGGTTGGGAAAGTGCCCACCAGGAAAGGGGAAAATTATTTTAGGAAAAGTTTGGTAAAATTTACTCCATGATTCCTAATTTTTCATGTTACCTTCCATATACTTAAACTCCAAGCTCTGGGGGAGTGGGGGGGGACCCCCTTTCTTTATTTTCCCTTTGACTTTTTTTTTTTCTTTGTTGGTTCTGCAACTTGAAGCAATGGCTGCAGATCATGTTAATTAATTGCAAAGAAATAGTGTTACTGTATTTAAATTCCTTTTTTTTTTTGTGAATCAAGAATTTCAATTGCCAAAAAGTCCCATATTAGCCCTTTCACTGTTCATATCCCCAATCTGAAACTTGTCCACTGTCCAAGAATTTTCCAAAAAAAAATTTATTTTTCTTACGAAATGGTGTAAAATATTTTTCTGAAGGTAATAAAACAAAAAGTACAAAAATTGATGAAATTACGGTTTCACTAATTCTGCTGCGTCAGCAGTATTTACGCATCAGCGATTTTGTCCACTTTGAGTCCTATTTTAGGCCAATTACATTGTTCCAGTCCACTAAATTCTTAGCTATTTTGCTAGTATGTCTTCCATTTTATTGACTGAGCACAAGAAATTACCCTATCAACTATTTCAATTAAATAAAGTGATCAGAAATTTATAATTTGGCCAATTTCCAGCAAATTTCAAAATAATCCAACTTCAAGATAGTTTAGAATAAACAATGCAGTCATTCCCGGTACTAAAATAACATTTCCTCTGATTCATTTGGCTATGTTCCGAGGCTTTTACCACCAGTTGCATTTTTGATATTTTTTTATTCATAAAGAATTTTTATTCACAAAAATAGATTTCCTCTCTCTCTCTGTCTGTCTGTCTCTCTCTGTCTGTCTGTCTCTCCTGTCTCTCTCGTCTCTCTCTGTCTTCTCTCTGTATCATCTCTGTCTCTCTCTGTCTCTCTCTGTCTGTCTTCTCTGTCTGTCTCTCTCTGTCTGTCTGTCTCTGTCTGTCTCTCTCTGTCTGTCTGTCTCTGTCTTTGTCTGTCTCTCTCTCTGTCTCTCTCTCTCTGTTCTCTTCTTCTGTCTCTCTCTCTCTCTGTCTTCTCTCTCTGTCGCTCTGTCTTATGTCTCCTGTCTCTCTCTGTCTCTCTCTCTGCTCTCTCTCTGTCTCTCTCTCTTCTCTCTCTCTCTGTCTCTTGTCTCTTCTGTGTCTCTCTGTCTCTCTCTGTCTCTGTCTCTCTCTTCTCTCTTTTTTTTTTTTTTTTTTTCAACAAGTCAATCGTCTCCCACCGAGGCAGGGTGCCTAAAAGGAAAGAAAATCCCCAAAAAGAAAATACTCTTCATCATCATTCAAACACTTTCACACTCACTCACACATAATCACTGTCTTTGCAGAGGTGCCCAGATACAACAGTTTAGAAGCATATATAAAGATATAAAACATGCCCCTCCAAACTTCCAATATCACAACCCTCTCCTTTAAGTGCAGCATCGTACTTCCCATTTCCAGTACTCGTGTCCCAGCTACCATATAAAATAATAACCGGTTTCCTGAATCCCTTCACTAAATATTACCCTGCTCACACTCCAACAGCTTGTCATGTCCCAAAAACCATCTTCATTCACTCCTATGTAACATGCTCACACATGCTTGCTGGAAGTCCAAGCCCCTCGCCAATGAAACCTCCTTTACTACCCCCCTCCAACCTTTCAAGGACGACTCCTACCCCGCCTTCCTTCTCCTACAGATTTATATGCTCTCCATGTCATTCTACTTTGATCCATTCTCTTTAAATGGACAAACCAATTCAACAACCCTCTTCAGCCTCTTCAAGCTGGTTATGTATTTTTTAATTTTTTTTTTTTTTTAGTTTTTTCTCTACGCACAAGTCGGCCGTCTCCCCACCGAGGCAGGGTGGACCAAAAAGAAAGAAAATCCACAAAAGAAAATACTTTTATCATCATTCAACACTGTTCACCCACACTTGCACATTATCACTGCTTTTGCAGAGGTGCTCAGAATACTATCAGCTTAGAAGCTTATTACTTAAAGATACACAACATATCCCCTCCAAATGCCAATATCGCAAACCCCTCTTTAAAGTGCAGCATTGTTACTTCCCATTTCCAGGACTCAGTCCGACTATAAGGAAAATATACCGGTTTCCTGAATCCCTTCACTAAATATTACCATGCTCACACTCCAACAGATCGTCAGGTCCCAAGTATTCATTCGTCTCATTCTCTCTATCTAAACACGCTCATGCATGCTTGCTGGAAGTTCCAAGCCCCTCGCCCAACAAAACCTTCCTTTACACCCTTCTTACCAACCACTTTTCGAGACGACCCTACCCTCTTTCCTCTCCTATAGATTTATTGCTTTCCAGTCATTCTACTTTGTATCCATTCTCTCTAATGACAACCACCTCAACAACCCTCTTCTGCCCTCTGACTAATGCTTTTATTTAACTCCACACCTTCTCCTAATTTCCACACTCCGAATTTTCTGCATAATTTTTGCACAACACATTGCCCTTAGACAGGACATCTCCACTGCCTCCAACCGTCTCCTCGCTGCCTGCATTTACACCCAAGCTCACCATCCATATAAAAAAGTGTTGGTACTACTATTACTTTTTACCAGTCCCTTCTTTGCCTCCATAGATTAACGTTTTTTGACTCCACATATACCTCAACGCACCACTCACCTTTTTTCCCTCATCAATGCTATGGATTAACCTCATCCTTCATAATTCCATCGCCCGACACGTCAACTCCCAAGTATCTGAAAACATTTACTTCTTCCATACTCCTCCTCCCCAATTTGATATCTCAATTTTTTCTTTATCTAAATCATTTGATACCCTCATCACCTTACTCTTTTTCTTGTTCACTTTCAACATTCTACCTTTACCACACATTCTCAAACTCATCCACTAACCTTTGCAATTTTTTCTTTAGGAATAACCTACCCATAAGCACTGTATCATCAGCAAAAAAGTAAACTGTGTCAATCCCATTTTTGAATTTGATTCCCATATTAATCCCACACTCTCCCGAACACCCTAGCATTTACTTCTTTTACAACCCATCTATAAATATATTAAACACATGGGTGAATTTCACATCCCTGTCTAAAGACCTATTTTCGGGAAGTATTCTCCTCTCTTCTACACACCCTAATCTGAGCCTCACTATCCTCATAAAAGCTCTTTACGCATTAGTAACTTACCACCTATTACATAAATTCAAAATCTGCCACATTGCTCTCTATCCAATCTATCATATATTTATTTATTTTTATTATTATCACACTGGCCGATTCCACCAGGCAGGGTGGCCCGAAAAAGGAAAAACTTTCCACCATCATTCACTCCATCCACTGTCTTGCCAGAGGGTGCTTTACACTACAGTTTTTAAAACTGCACATTAAACACCCTCCTTCAGAGTGCAGGCCACTTGTAACTTCCCTATCTCCAGGACTCAAGTCCGGCCTGCCGGTTTCCCTGAAATCCCTTCATAAATGTTACTTTGCTCACACTCCAACAGCACGTCAAGTATTATAAACCATTTGTCTCCATTCATCCTATCAAACACGCTCACGCATGCCTGCTGGAAGTCCGCAAGGCCACTCGCACACAGAACCTCCTTTACCCCCTCCCTCCAACCCCTCCTAGGCGACCCCTACCCCGCCTTCCTTCAACTACAGGATGATACACTCTTGAAGTCATGCTGTTTCGCTCCATTCTCTCTACATGTCCGAACCACCTCAACAACCCTTCCTTCAGCCTCTGGAACAACAGTTTTGGTTCATACCCGCACCTCCTCCTAACTTCCAAACGACGAATTCTCTGCATTATATTCACACAACACATTGCCCTCAGACATGGAATCTCCACTGCCCACCAGCTTCTCTCGCTGCCACTTCATCACCCCGCTTCACACCCATATAAGAGCGTTGGTTAAAATATAACTCTCATACATTCCCTCTTTGCCTCCAAGGCAAAGTTCTTTGTCTCCACAGCAGGACTCCTAAGTGCACCACCTCACGTCTTTTCTTCCTCATCAATTTCTATGATTCACCTCATCTTTCATAGACCCATCCGCTGACAAGTCATCCCAAATATCTGATAAGTTCTTTTGTCCACTTTCCCTTTATATAAAGGGGAAATATACCATGCTCTCCGCCAATCCCTATGATACCTTCCCCTCTTTCATACATTTATTAAACAAAAGTTCCAACCCACTCCAACACTATATCCCCCCCTGCTTTTAACATTTCTGTCATGATCCATCAGTTCCAGCTGCCTTTACACCTTTCATTTCTACGTAATGCCTCACGTACCTCCACCACACTTACATTCTGCTCTTCTTCACTCCTAAAAGTTGGTTTAATACCTCCCTGGCCAGTGCATAAAATATACCGCTCCCATTCTTCCTCAACATTTAAAAGTTCCTCAAAATATTCTCAGCCATCTAACTAATACTCTCTCTCTCCCCATCTACTAACTCCCTACTCTGTTTTTAAGGACAAATCCATACTTTCCCTAGGCATTCTTACTTGTTTAACTCACTCAAAATTTTTTTTTTATTTTCATAAAAATTCTTGGACAGTTGCCCTTCCCACTCTTTCATCTGCTTTCACTTTTGAACTCTCTCACCCACTCTTTCACTTTCTTTATATTCTCCATATTACTCTGCTTTCTTTCCCTTTTTCAACACTTCTGCTTTGTAAAACACCTCTCGTAATGCTACCTTTTTCTCTTTTAATCACACCTTTACTTCATCTCATTCCACCAATCACTCTTTACCTCCTGCCCCCACCCTCCTATAACCACAAACTTCTGCCCCACATTCTAAATATGCATTTAAATTATTCAACCCTCTTCAACCCCCCCACTACTCATCTTTGCACTAGCCCTCCTTTCTGCCTATAGTTGCTTATATCTCGCCCGCACTTCTCCTCCCTTAGTTTATACACTTTCACATCCCCTCTTTACTTGTTGTTGCACCTTCCTCTTTTCTCATTCTACCTCTTACTCGAACTGTAGCTACAACTAAATAATGATCTGATTATATCAGTTGCCCCTCTATAAACATGTACATCCTGGAGCCTCCCATCAACCTTTTTATCCACCAATCATAATACTAACTAACTACTTGCATTACGTGCTACATCATACCTTGTATATTATTTATACCTTATTTTTCATAAAATATGTATTTACTTTATTACCAAATTTCTTTCTACACTAGCTCAATTAAAGGCTCCCCATTTTACATTTACCCTGGCACCCCAAAATTTACCTAACTTACTCCCTCCATAACATTTTTACCCACTTTAGCATTGAAAATCCCCAACCACCATTACCTCTCACACTTGATTCAAAACTCCCATGCATTCACTCAACATTTCCCAGAATCTCTCTCTCTCCTCTACTCTTCTCTCTTCTCAGGTGCTTATACGTTACTATAACCCAACTTTTCAATCCCAATCTTAATTTTACTCCCACATAATCCTAGAAATTTATGCATTTTGTAGTCCCTCTTTTCCTGCCATAGCACAAACATTATTTGCGACTCTTGTTTACTCTAACTCTATTTGAAACCCCTGACCTATCCCATTTATTCTTCTCCATTGAAAACTCTCCCACCCCCTTCAGTTTTTTTCACTTAAAGCCAGGACATCCAGCTTCTTCTCATTCATAACATCCACAATATCTCTTTTTATCATTTTGCACAACATCCACGCACATTCAGACTTCCACACTTTGACAATTTTTTCTTATTCCTTTAGTAATCTTTACAGGAAATGGGTGTTACTAGCCCATTGTTCCGGCATTTTAGTGATTGTACAACACGCATGGGACTTACGGTGGAAAGATTCTTATTCACTTTCACCATGGATATAAAATGGAAAAGTAATAGGACAAGAACTATAAGATAAAATCAAGAACTCAGATGAGTGTGTATAAATAAACATGTACATGTATGTGTAGTGTGACCTAAGTGTAAGTAGAAGTAGGAAGACATGCCTGTAATCTTGCATATTTATGAGACAGACAAAAGACACCTGCTATCCTACCATCATGTAAAACAATTACAGGCTTTCGTTTTCATCACTTGGCAGGACGGGTAGTTAGTACTCCCTGGGTGGTTGCTGTCTACCAACCTACTACCTATTAATATTATAATATTTTATTAATATTATAATTGTATAAAAAATATCAACGCATTTGTAAATGCATATTAGATCTGCCATTTGACATGTATTGGATGCTTGACATGATTTGTTTACTCTTGAACATTGGCAAAAATTGAACATTTCTGCTACTCTGAGCTCAATTTCAAGCTATTTTCAATCCTGAAGCCAACAAAAATTATCTCTATTTAAGTTGTATATTTTCCATTCAATCATACGAGACCAAGAAAATTGAGAAACAGACGTAAAAACCATGTGAAAATATACCGCTAAATCACTATTTTAAACCAAAAACAGTTGCAGTTTTTTCCTCATTACACACTGTACTGCGGGATTTTATTTTTTTTGTATGGTTCACACTTATCACATAGATCCATTCTCTCATATCTCAGCCCAAATTTATTGCTCACAGCTTATCTGAGTGAGCTGAGCTCATGGTGTAATACTACGGCACTGACTGGCCTCAAAGCTGTAGTACTACGGCAGTCAGCAAAAGGATTAATAAATTGTTTTAGTAAATATTTCTTGCAACCAAGGGAAAACTCCCATTTTAACCTGACTTATTAAATAGTAGTGTGCTTTCATTAAACAGTGAGACCTTTCCCTTACATTACTGTACTGTGTTATATATTATAAAATAATTAATTTTTTTACAGTGGAAGACCCATCAGACAACTTTGCAAGATTAAGGGACTTGGTAGATAGCAAGAATTGTTTGAAATTAGATAGTTTTCAGTCCAAAAAGCTTTTAAAAGGCTTTTCAGAGGCCATGGTAGAAGAGGCCAAGAAAAAATTGAAGCTCAATAAGGTAAGTAGTGTTTATATAATCTAATGCTGGAATGTAGTGCACTGGAAACTTTACGCAATTTTTGTTTAAAAAAAAAAATTACACTATCACTGAAAATCAAGAATAGTCTTGTACTGTTTCCTGTTAGGTGTTTTGATAAATTTAAGTTAGATCTTTGACTAAACCAAAAAAACTTCTGAAAATTTCACAATACTTTTATGGAATTATTGAGAAAAAAGTACTGGTGTTTCCTAAATTTAATCCTTTTTCAGCGTCAGGTACGAAGAGTATATGAAATCCTTAGGCTACGTGTAACAGACAGATCAGACAAGGAAGCCTACAGATGGTATAGGTTAGATATCAAGAATCGTCTCAATGTACAGTATAAGGTATGTTTTACACTTTTACAATACCAATTGAGCATCTTATCGATGTGTATAATCTCTTCGCTTTGTGGTTACTGGTTGAAAGTGCAAGGTGTTGAAGTTAGTTGTTTATAGTATGTGTATTTTTTGTAAGACATGTATTGTTAGCCAACTGTTCTGTGTACATGTGTGTTAAGGTACTTTTTCATCTTGAGCTTGGGGTGATTTGGCCCACAAATACACTTTTCCATTTGTGGATTAAGTTGAGTCAGTGTTGGATGCATGGTATGCTCAAGACAACTGTATTGCATTTTTGTGGAAGTATGGAAGTGGAAGTCTTCAAGGAGTATTTTATTGAACAGCTGTGGGACAATAAATACGTAATGATGAATAAATTCCCAGACTGATTTTATTTACTTGCTGATTTAACACTGAGTAGAACTGGTAAAAAGTATATGAAGGATTTTGTAGTTACAGTATTTGGATTTTTTTTTTTTTTGCATATTACATTTGACAGCATGCTGTTGTGATTCCAATATGTAAATTATCTATTACAGATGATGCTTTTGTTGCATTTAATTACATTGACCAGCAAAGGTTTGAGTTCACTTTTAAAGACCTGTGTTTCTAACCAATTTTGGGATGCTGAAATCAAATCGTAGCTTAGTTTTGGTTCTGTCGTGGTGTTCTGTTTCTGTGAAATAGAACCCCATGATAAATAACTTCACCAAGACATAGCCATCATGGAGAAGAGATATCAGTCAGTTTGATGGCTGACTGCTGATGGACATTGGTGTGGGAAATCAATAGTGAACACAAGCAAAAAAAGGCTGTAAACTGTGATGTAAATGTTTGCATGACTATGGAAATTTCTTTTATTTTTGTTATGCATATACATAACGAATTTACATTAAGAAAGTTCTGTCACAGCAGTAGGGCCCCGCTGTATGGCATTTCGCCTTACAGCGTATCACTAATACGGACATTTTAAATTAGTAGGACCAAAACTTGCTGTATGGCTCCCTCACCTGACTTTCTAATACGGTCACCACGCCCCACCTGTTTATTTACATTCTCTATGAGGTCCGTGAGCATCGCGTCTCATTACGTCTGTTTGGAGGGGTCATCTAAACTGTTGTATCTGCACACTTCTGGCAAGACAGTGATAGTGTGAATGATGATGAAAGTGTTTCTCTTTTGAGTCACTTTACTTAAAAAATGTTTCAAAAGGTTTTGGAGCAATTTCCTCTACTTTCCTTCTAGTTATCAACCACTGTTAAAATTATTTTCAAATATTCCTTTGTATGGGGGGTTTAAATTTATATGTTTTTTGAGTACCGCTGACACTAAGAAATATTCATTATTTATTTCCAGTGTGTTCAGTTTTCACATTTCCTGTTTCGCAATTTTGGATTCCATTTTGTCATGCGAGACATTGCACGGCAAAAAAGAGTAAGCACAACATGGTCAAAATTTGAATTAGTGAGTGTGTAAATTAGGAGAAGGTATGAAGTTAATAAAAGTATTAGTCAGAGGGCTGAAGAGGGGTTGCTGAGGTGGTGTGGTCATTTAGAGAGAATGGATCTAAGTAGAATGACATGGAGAGTGTATAAATCTGTAGGGGAAGGAAGGCAGGGTAGGGGGTCGTCCTCGAAAAGGTTGGAGGAAGGGGTAAGGGAGGTTTTGTGGGCGAGAGGCTTGGACTTCCAGCAGGCGTGCATGAGCGTGTTCGATAGGAGTGAATGGAGACGAATGGTATTTGGGACCTGACGATCTGTTGTAGTGTGAGCAGGGTAATTAGTGAAGGGATTCAGGGAAACCGGCTATTTTTATATAGCCGGACTTGAGTCCTGGAAATGGGAAGTACAATGCCTGCACTTTAACCCTTTGAGGGTCTACAGGCCCTCTCCGAAACTCGTTCTCAGGGTCGGCCAAATTAAAAAAAAAAAATTATTATTTTTTCTTATTAAAAAATATTTTTTTTTTTCTAAACATTATAGGCTAAACAAAAAAATTTTACCGTCAATGCTTACCAAGATATGGAGGCGTGAAGTTTGCCAAAATTGAACAACATCTGGTAACATCGCCGACTGCCGTCACCCGGTATTTTTCTATTTACTTTTTTATGTACTATTTTCAATTATTTTTCAATTTTCCTTTTTCTGAGTAACTTTTATGGCCTCTGAGGCCAACATGATCAGTATTTTGTAAGTTATTTCTTTTTCAATACTACACAATAAGGGCGTAAACACTGTTGTCATTATTTTGTTTATAGAAAATATTTACACAAACAAACGATATGAAATGTTGTTTATTACTATTTTTCTGTATTTTATATACACATATACAGTCACAGGGAATGTTTCTAGAAGTTCTGCAGCCTGTGGAACTCTTTGAAACATGGTGTCATGCACAGTGCTGTTTTACACTCACACATAAAACGAGTGTCTCTGCGTTGTTGTGGGCATTTTTTTGTATGTGCACAGACGTAACACCTCTTCCGAGCCTTTTTCTTGAAAGCAGTAGCAGGCAGTTTTACCAGGAAGTGATCACCATGCTTCAGACGAGCAGGTAGTTGTTGATAATTTGGTGGGCGGTCAATTGCAGGTGCTGTTCCTTGGTACTTGAATACTATTTGTCTGATGACAGACAAACAGAATTTGCCGTACTGTGGTTTGTTTCTGGTCCTCATCTTATACATATTATAAGCATTGAGCATGGAAATGTCCAGAAGATGGAAAAAGAGTTTTATGTACCACTTATAACTCTTGCGAACACAATCAGCAAACCCAATCTGCATGTCACATTTGTCCACTGAATGCATTTTGAAGGTGTAATCAATCACAGCTGCAGGTTTTAGAATGGGTTCATTGCTCTCTCTATGCTGCCTGCCACTGTCTGCCATTTCATTAGGGTGAACTGATGACAACAGTGTGACATCTCGTTTGTCATGCCACCGAAATGCCATGATGTCATTGGCAGCAAACGCCTGCACCTCACCTCTACGAGTGCCAGCGTCAAACCTGGGCATATGTTTCCGATTTGCACGCACTGTGCCACACACATCTGTCATGTTCACTCGCAAAAAAATCACTGAGTGAGGGGCTTGTGTACCAGTTATCTGTATATAATATATGCCCCTTACCAAGGTATGGTTCTGTCATTGTTCTAACCACATCACCTGAGATGCCCAATAACTTCCTGGTAATTTTGCAATGTATAACTTCCAGTGTACACAATAATATCCAATACCAGACCACTGTAACAATCACAAAGCACAGATGACTTTATACCAAAGCGTTTCCTCTTGCTTGGTATGTACTGCTTGAAAGAAAGTCTTCCTTTGAACAGAATCAAAGACTCGTCAATTACAAGCTTCCTGAAGGGATAAAAATGCGTACTGAATTTCTCTTTCAGATACACAAACACATTCCTAATCTTATATAACCTGTCATTTCTGTCAGGCCTGGTTTTGTCTGAGAAGTGAAGCATACGTAACAGCACAAATCGATTCACTGGCATTTTATCACTGAAACCTGGGGTTGCAATCAGGCGGTCTGTTGACCAATATGATTTCACTTTGTGCTTATACACATGTGGCATAAGCATTATTGTGGCAAAGAAAAGATACATCTCAGCCACAGTTGCCTCCTTCCACTGGTGTAGACGTGATTTTGGTGAAAGTAATGTGTTTGCCATGGTGTACTCGTAGTATGTGTTGCTTTCCATGACAATACTTTCTATCAGTGGTTCGTCAACGAATAACTCGAAACATTCCAGTTCAGTGGCATTGTTCCCAAGTGTACAAGATGGCCGTATTCCACTTTGGCTGTCATCAAATTGGTGGGCATTTGGAACAAAATTGACAGTTCCTGCCAATCCCAGGTGCGGTCTGCTTTGGGGGGGTATGGACAATGACAGGTGTGTTGTGGAGGCTGGTGTGGTGGGTGGGTGGGGGATGGTGGCCTTTGTTGTAGATCAGCTGAGGCAGCGGCGTGGGTGGCAGCATGGCCCACTGCTGGTGCCTCACCGCCGGCACCACTACCACCACACACATTTTCCATCCCAATTGCAACAGTATCATCGTCATTTTCACCTCTGTTCCTGTTGTACAGCCACGGGATGTACTCCGAGATACACTCCTTCCCCTTGGAATAGCATATGGCACACTACCAGAGCGCATATATCGTCGTATATACTGACGCTTCACTGGGGAATATTGCACTTCACTATCACTACTGGAGCTAGTTTGAAAAGCTTGTAGTTCATATTCACTATCACTATCATCACCCATGCTCTCATCTGAGTCTGGGATTTGGGAAAATAGAAGTTTCCTCTTGGATTCTGGTACAACTGAACGTGAACAAGACGGCCCAGCACCAGAGGTGGAAGGCTGAGGGTCGTCTGGGTTTTCCTCACTATTACCGATATTATGGTCATTAGTTTCGGTCAAAACCTTGAAACTCGTCTTCACTGGCACTTCCATCTATATTAGAACTGTCACTAGGGAACAAAAGTGTCCCAATTCGCCGAGGAGTGAGGAGCTTCTTACCGCGAGGCATGGTGGATATTGTTTACTAAGATGGCGTTCCCACAATGCACCACTGGGTCCCAGATTTTTTTTCTACCACGCACACCGACCACACAGACCCATTCTCTCACATGTAGGCCTACCAGCCTTTTCCCGCGAGATTTGACGGCGCTAGAATTTGTGCGTACTAGTACGTCAAAAACCCCTGCGCATAAGACGTACTAGTACGTCCGAAACCCTCAAAGGGTTAAAGGAAGGGTTTGGGATATTAGCAGTTTGGAGGTATTTGTTGTGTATCTTATTGTATATGCTTCTAAACTGTTGTGTTCTGAGCACTTCTGCAAAAACACTGATTATGTGTGAGTGAGGTGAAAGTGTTGAATGATGATGAAAGTATTTTCTTTTCGGGGATTTTTTCTTTTTGGGTCACCCTGCCTCGGTGGGAGACGGCCGACTTGTTAAAAAAAAAAAAAAAAAAAATCTATTCCTTAATGGTGGTATTTAGTGGGAACGTGTAGATATTGTTTTTTGCATCTGTAAGTTAGGCTCAGAGCCCCATAACGAAGTGTAACAACTTTAGCTTCATAGCTCAAATTTGTTCCATGCCTTCATTTTTCTCATTTCAGTTTGGTGTTTATTTTCTGCCTCAGTGCCTTGTATGTCTTAAAACATTTCGTGTGTTTCACTTTACAGCAATTTTCGCTTTACAGCGGTAGCCCAGAACCTACCCTGCTGTATAAGCGTGGTCCTCCTGTATTTTGTATAATGTTATTTTGACATAAGTGAGCTACATAACTTTAATTTCTCTTGCAAAAATAGCCTGCACTTAGAAGACAATCTTATGATGATGATTCGGTCTAACTTGGTCCATTAACGAGTCACACAGAGACGTGAGCAGGAAAAGAGCCAGAATATATACGAGGGGGGGGGGCCAGAGAAAGGCAGTGGTGGTGGTTATGGTTGCGATGGTGGCAGCAGTGGCGATGGTAACTTTTTACTTTTTAATTTCTCTTTGCAGAAAGAAGATCGTGATATGGAAAAACTTAAGAAAGTCTTGAGACCAGAGGAGTTTGCTGCTACTATGACTGTTACAAGTAAAGATCAGCGTTTGGAGAGTTTGGAGCGTCAGTATGCGGAGTTGGAGGAGCATTATTTGCATGTGTTGGAGCGTTTGGCTGGTTCTGACCTTTCTTGACAAACTGGAAGTGATCATTTGGTTGACTGTCTTTAACTTGTTAATTTACAGTTTGCCAAGATTTTCTTTTTTGTCCCGAAACCTTTGAGAATACAAATATTTCGTGTAGGTAAATAAATTTTTTTTCAGAATGATGATGTCACTTAATTATTTTGTATCCTAATTTTTTGAAATTAAAGAAAAACTGAGATCAATTTTGGTTAAACGTAATGGTAAATGCTTATATTACTTGATAATCGTGATTGTATACATGTACTCTTGCAATGCTCAGAATGGGATAATGCTTGATGATCTTCCCCAAACATTGTTGTCATCTATTTCTATCACCTCCAAATGATTACAATAAACAGGCATTTCCATTTTGTGGTGAATCATAATGAGGACAAAATTTGCTTTGAGTATTCAGAGTCATAGAAATTTATGAAGTTGAACTGGTGAAACACATGAAGCGATTAACAGGAACCTGAAGTAGGAAAAAAGTTTCAAAGCTTACCAGTTCATTAGCCCTAAGTTATAGATGGCACATGTATGGCAGTAGAGTTTGAGAAAGATATTAAGTTACAACCATATTTTCATCAAAATATTTATTTTCATTTGATTGAAAGCAAAATGTAAAGGTTGTTTTGTATAGCTCAAATATTGGCCAATAATTGTGTACATTGCAAAACTAATGTAATACATGTAAAACTTAACTACCAACAATTAGTTCACTGTTATCATAACCAGAAAACAACACTTTATACTACATAGTATTACTTGCCAGATGGAATTAATTGATTTGGAAACAAAAGTACTGATTACATATGCAAGTTTGTATAATGTTTAAAAAGAAGGCAAATTGTATATACTATTCAGTGTTTAGGTTGTGAGTCAACTTTAATTCCTGGTAAAAAAAAAGATAGAGAAATCTTAGCTGAAGTGATAAACTGGTCTACAAAAATTATCTTGGATTCTAGACAATTGAAGGTGTAGAGATAGCTGTTGCAGTGTTCGGAAAAGTCTGTATAGATTTGCATGTGCCGGTCTGCTTTGAGCTTTGGAAGATGTATAATACAGTAAACCAAGATACATTATAATTTAATTTTCAAGAAAAACAATAGTGCACTGTACCTGATTTTGCATCGATGCAGGTATAGATTTCTCCCTTCACAGGTCAGTAGGTTACTGTCAGTAGTACAATATTATTGTAGTTTTTACTGCATAATTATTTCCATCTTTTTTCACCCTCACCTTGTTTCCATTTTGCACTCATGGTGTGATGCATTACCCTTGAAGACTGCAGCAAAAGTAAAATATTTTGGTTATTTCAAAAGCCGTCCAGTTAGTTTTTTGTGCTTAGATAGTTGTCGTTGACTTGCAGAAGCATTGTGAATGTGGTTGAGAGGCGATTAGAATTTCATTATGTAAAGGATTGATATCATAGGACAAAATTTTACAGATAAGGGACTTGTTTAACCGCTGAAATAACGTGAAGGGTATTGAGAATGATCTTGAGATGGCAAGCCACACATTGTGAACTGCACTGATTCTGGTTTCATGTTTCCAGAACTTGTGTGGATATTGACTGGTAGCAGGTGAAAAGTTGAAGGAATTTGTACAGTGTTCTAAGCAGTTTGAAGTTTGCAATCCACATTACACTTTTTTTTTTTTTTTTTTTTTTTTTTTTTAACCTTCAGAGAACTTTTACAGTGAGCAGCCACTGCAAAAGTAGTACAAATACAATTGAATTAAAACAAAATTTTTTTTGACTTGTACCCATTGTTGTTTGAGAGTTGTATTTGTTAAAATAATGTGCTTGTGCTTTCTCAGTTGGAGAAAATTAATAATTCTTTAGAAGTTTAGTGAGGCTTTTGTATCTGTTTTTGTATTTGGATTTTATACATAGTAACTGACTATGAGCATCAGGAAATTTAATAGAATATAAAGCATGTAAATGAAAGTAAATGTTGTGTACCATAGTAAGAATATAAAAAGATTTATTGTATTGTTTGTCAGCTATTATCAAAGTGTTAGCTACTGTATTTTACAAGCAGTTACACTGAATCATTATATTAAATGCTTTTGACATTGTGATAATTTTTAAGGGATTTGTGAAGAAATTATTGGAGGATAATACAGGTAATTATTTTGTAATCCTGATTTTGGCAAGTACACACTTTGATATGGCTTAGTCTTGGGTAACATTAAGTCACTTAAAAAGTAACTTGTCATAAACTATAACAAACTTGATGTCATTGAGATCTGCCAATCAAAGCACATGTTTTAATGTCATCAATCACATTTTATTGCTAGCTGTATTTCATGTCATAAAAATGTAGTGTCTACATTGTATTTTTGTGGGACCCTACAGTGAACATATGCTTTTGATATTAGTAATGCTACTAGTTAATATTCCATAAAAAAGAATGAAAATAGAGATTGCAGTTAAAGTGATATACAGAACAAATCATGTATTATGCTAGGACATACAGTGCATGAAGTTGCTGTGACATGAATTAAAAAGCTTAGTGAATTTCATAAGCAGTTGTTGAAAAAATGTTGAAAATTTAATGTACAGTATTTAAATGTTACTTGAAAATTTTACAAATTTTTAAATGTATGTTTATGGCCAGCTTGGCATTAAAGAATATTTCAATTTGTGAGTAATAATACAACTTTCTGTGCATGTTTCAGTGTTTTTCTAAAACATACATATATATTATAATGGTAATGATTTACTTGTCTTGATGTCTTTAAATTATGAGTTTGTACCAGGTTTTTGAAGAAAGATTGGTGGGGCTCTGTTGGGAAATGTGTGCATCAAGCTTTTGAATTTTGTCAAGACATTGAGTCAACTCTTCATACTTAGGGAGCATCTATTGACAAAACTTCTACATCCACACTTGAAAGGTTTGATAAATTCATCCTGGAAAAGACTAGTGGGAACATTTAAGAAATTTAAATTAGGATAATTGTTTAGTGTTAATAGGTAACAAAGGTGCATGTTGCAGAACAAGCTCTTATTAGGAAAATGTTTTGCTCTTATTTAGAGCACATTATGATAAAGCTTGACAGTAAAAGCTTGTCCTGCAATGTGTTTTCTTCACTGTTGTTGGTAGTGTGACATGTAGATTGAATGGTGATAAGTATACATGTGATGGAGATTTCAGTAGTTACATAAGTGTACAGTACTTTTGTTAAGTATTCTTAGATACAGTACACTACATGTATATAAAATATATTTTTGCTTTTAGATACTGTATCTTTGCTGATGTAATTTTGGAAAAGTTTTCTTTTTTTTCCCCAACAAGTCGGCCGTCTCCCACCGAGGCAGGGTGACCCAAAAAAGAAAGAAAATCCCCAAAAAGAAAATACTTTCATCATTCAACACTTTCACCACACTCACACATTATCACTGCTTTTGCAGAGGTGCTCAGAATACAACAGCTTAGAAGCATATACGTATAAAGATACACAACATATCCCTCCAAACTGCTAATATCCCAAACCCCTCCTTTAAAGTGCAGGCATTGTACTTCCCATTTCCAGGACTCAAGTCCGACTAAATGAACATAACCGGTTTCCCTGAATCCTTCACTAAATATTACCCTGCTCACACTCCAACAGATCGTCAGGTCCCAAGTATCATTCGCCTCCATTCACTCCTATCTAACACGCTCATGCACGCTTGCTGGAAATCCAAGCCCCTAGCCCACAAAACCTCCTTTACCCCCTCTTTCCAACCCTTTCGAGATGACCTACCGCCTCCTTACTTTCCACCTTAGATTTATATTGGTTTTCCATGTCCATTACTTTGATCCATTCTCCTCAATGACCAAACCCACCTCAACAACCCTCTTTGCCTCTGACTATGCTTTATTAAACTCCACACCTCCGAGATTCCCTACTCCGAATTTTCGCATAATATTTATACCACATCACTTTGCCCTTAACAGGACCATCTCCACTGCCTCCAACCGTCTCTCCGCTGCTAGCATTTTTACTACCCAAGCTTCACATCCAATCATTATAAAGTGTTGGTACTACTATACATCTCATGCATTCCACCTTCTTTGCCTCCATAGATAACGTTTTTTGACTCACATATCCTCAAGCGTACACCACTCACCTTTTTTCCCTCATAAATTTTCTATATTACCACCTCATCCTTCATAATATCTATGATTAACCCTACACGTCATAAATCATCCGCGACACGTCAACTCAAGTATCGAAAACATTCACTTCTTCCATACTCCTCCTCCCCAGTTTGATATCCAATTTTTCTTTATCTAAATCATTTGATACCCTCATCACCTTACTCTTTTCTATGTTCACTTTCAACTTTCTACCTTTACACACATTCTCAAACTCATCCACTAACCTTTGCAATTTTTCTTTAGAATCTCCCATAAGCACAGTATCATCAGCAAAAAGTAACTGTGTCAATTCCCATTTTGAATTTGATTCCCCATAATTTAATCTCACCCCTCTCCCAAACACCCTAGCATTTACTTCTTTACAACCCCATCTATAAATATATTAAACAACCATGGTGACATTACACATCCCTGTCTAAGACCTACTTTTACCGGGAAGTATTCTCCCTCTCTTCTACACACCCTAACCTGAGCCTCACTATCCTCATAAAAGCTCTTTACAGCATTTAGTAACTTACCACCTATTCCATATACTTGCAACATCTGCCACATTGCTCCTCTATCCACTCTATCATATGCCTTTTTCTAAATCCATAAATGCAATAAAAACTTCCCTACCTTTATCTAAATACTGTTCACATATATGCTTCAATGTAAACACTTGATCTACACATCCCTACCCACTCTGAAGCCTCCCTGCTCATCCGCAATCCTACATTCTGTCTTACCTCTAATTCTTTCAATTATAACCCTACCGTATACTTTTCCTGGTATACTCAGTAAACTTATTCCTCTATAATTTTTACAATCTCTTTTGTCCCCTTTCCCTTTATATAAAGGGACTATACATGCTCTCCGCCAATCCCTAGGTACCTTCCCCTCTTTCATACATTTATTAAACAAAAGTACCAACCACTCCAACACTATATCCCCCCCTGCTTTTAACATTTCTGTCATGATCCCATCAGTTCCAGCTGCTTTACCCCCTTTCATTCTACGTAATGCCTCACGTACCTCCACCACACTCGCATTCTGCTCTTCTTCACTCCTAAAAGATGGTATACCTCCCTGGCCAGTGCATGAAATTACCGCCTCCCTTTCTTCCTCAACATTTAAAAGTTCCTCAGAATATTCTCGCCATCTACCTAATACCTCCCTCTCCCCATCTACTAACTCCCCTGCTCTGTTTTTAACGGACAAATCCATACTTTCCCTAGGCTTTCTTAACTTGTTTTAACTCACTCCAAAATTTTTTATTATTTTCATTAAAATTTCTTGACAGTGCCTCTCCCACTCTTTCATCTGCTCTCCTTTTGCACTCTCTCACCACTCTCTTCACCTTTCTTTTACTCTCCATATACTCTGCTCTTCTTATAACACTTCTGCTTTGTAAAAACCTCTCGTAAGCTACCTTTTTCTCTTTTATCACACCCTTTACTTCATCATTCCACCAATCACTCCTCTTTCCTCCTGCCCCCACCCTCCTATAACCACAAACTTCTGCCCCACATTCTAATACTGCATTTTTAAAAATATTCCAACCCTCTTCAACTCCCCCACTACTCATCTTTGCACTAGCCCACCTTTCTGCCAATAGTCGCTTATATCTCGCCCGTTTAGTTTAAAATATTATTGGGTGTGGAATTATGTCAGTATGTATTGGCATATTTTTGATTGAATATATCATCCTGGCTGTGTTAATTGTGTTAATAATCTGTCGTCATATGAACACCCAGGTGTGTTTTAACGTTTAACTAAAATGGCTCTTACAAACTTTTCCCTATTGAACTCGTGTTACAATAGTCACCTTGTTGCTGATAGTAATGGCAAAAACAAATAGAAATGCCATTACAGGTAAGGAGGTTATTTTTCATAATATAAAATAGTTTATGTAAATATCCTCAGCTTAATCAGAAACAATTAACCTGTAAAATAAAAATGATTGATATTGTATAAATTTCTCCAAAAAAATTTTACTTTTTATTTTTCAAAAATCATTGTTGAGAAGGCATTTTCAGCAGTTTTTCCCTTTTTTTAATTAACTGTCATGACTGGCTGTACCTTGATATAACCAGTTGATGTAACTGTACTAATTAGTACAGTTACAATATTCTTTAAAGTACAGTGGAACCTCAAAAATCGAACTTAATCTGTTCCAGGAGCTAGTTCTAAATTCGAAAAGTCTGAAATTCGAAGCAATATTTCCCATAAGGAATAATGGAAATACATTTAATCCGTTCCAGAAACCCAAAAATATTCACACAAAAAATACATTTTATAGAGATTAATTACAGTTTTACATACAACAAATACATGTACTATAGTTTTTAATTATGTATAGTAATTTTTTTTTTTTTTCAACAAGTTCGGCCGTCTCCCACCGAGGCAGGGTGACCCAAAACAGAAAGAAAATCCCCAAAAAGAAAATACTTTCATCATCATTCAACTCTTTTACCACACTCACACATTATCACTGTTTTTGCAGAGGTGCTCAGAATACAACAGTTTAGAAGCATACACATATAAATATACACAACATACTCCAAACTGTATAGTAATACATATAAAATAACATTTTTACTTACCTTTATTGAAGATTGGTAATGGCATCTGGAAGATAGGGAGGAGGAGAGAGGGAGTTGGGGGTTAGTGTTTGGAAGGAGAATACCCCTCCATGAGGACTTCAGGTAAAGCCCTCTCTGGGGTTACTTCCCATCTTTGTCTTTTAATGCCACTAGGACCAGCTTGAGAGTCACTGGACTCCTGTCTCACAAAATAACTGTCCACAGTCCTCTGTTTCTGGTGCCTCTTTAACATTTCCCTAAAATGGGACATGGTTCTGTCATTGAACTTGTTGAAAAGATGGCTTGTTTCAGCTTGCTCAGGGTGGTACTTCTGCACAAACATTTGGACATCATTCCACTTGGCACAAATCTCCTTAATCTTCGAAGAAGGCACCTCATCCACTCCCTATATTAACACCTTTCGCAACATCAGCTTCCTTGATTTGTTCTTTCTTTGGCAGGATAGAACCGATGGTCGACTTGTTTTTCCCATACATCCTGGCAAGCTCGACAAGTATCGCACCACTCTCATACTTCTGTATTATTTCCTTCTTCACATCTATGGTGTTTCTCACTTTCTTTACCACAGGGGTACCACTAGCAAGTTTCTTTGGGCCCATGGCAGCTTATTTCACAGTCCCACAAGCACTAAACACAATGAAATAATCGTAAAATGCGTGAATGAGAGCGCAGGTTAGTGTTCACTCAAGCATAAACAAAGCTAGACTGCTCACGGGCCTGCGCGGGGACGCAGACAGAGCGGGCGGCAGACAGTCCCATACCCGGCGGTCCGAAAATAGGGGCGTGTTTGATAATAGGGACACAGTTTGTCCGAAAAATGGTCCTATTTTTGAAATGTTCGATATGTGATACGTTCGATTTTTGAGGTTCCACTGTAATAGTGTGTAAAAATTTATAAAAGAGCTTTTTTGTTTTCATCTCTTACATATATGGAGTTATAA